GTATGGAGGGATGGACACTGGGAAGAGGTAACTATGGGGAGGAAGTGGGAGGGGAGCTGTTGCATTGTCTTAAACTGTGGTCAATGACATGAGACAAAGTGAACTGCTGTATGGAAGGTGAATTTGCTCTGTAAATCTTCACCCAAATCACAATAAAAAAGAAAAGAAAGAAATACCAGTGGCATAGCCTCCAGCCTCACAGCAACACAGAAGCCACCACAGTACAACAAACTGACAGACAGGTGGTGGTGAGTATGACTGGACTATCTGATAACCATGGAGGAGACTTTTTCCCCATCGACTGTGTGTGTGTTGAAGATCAGACTTGAGTCAGGGAATCATTGCCTTTTACTGTGTTTTTTCTGACACATACGACATGTGGCTACTTGTTTGCCTGCTCTGAGGTTTCTAGCCTCTAAATGTCTTTTCTAGGGGAGGGTGAGAAGTAATTCAATCAAAATTAATTTTTAAAAAGCACTCTTCTTGTTTTTATTTTTGTTGTGTGTCCAGGACTTAGAAGAATTCTGCTTTAAGTTTTGCGTCAATCATTTGACAGAAGTTACACAGACTGCAGCATTTTGGCAAATGGATGGCCCCTTGCTAAAGGAGTTCATTGCTAAAGCCAGTAAATGTGGAGCCTTTAAGAACTGAAATGGAAGGCTGTGCGTTCTGTGTGAGTGCTCTGGGGCACTGTGGATTATGTGTCCCATTTGTGCCCCATGGGTGATGTAATTCTGCAGGTAATAAATAAAATCAGGTCATTTTGTTTTCACTCTGAGGCACAGTTTTCTGTGTAGGCTTATGTGAAGGCTGTACAGCTTTGAACCCACTTACAGCAACTATTGTTTCCAGATATGTGTATTTTAAATATGACTTTTCTTACATTTGGGCTGGAACATTGGAAAAGGGTGAGAAGTCTGCTGTAGCTTTTTTTGATGAAAGGAACTTCTGAACCTTGGAGACCTTGAGAAGGTAGAGGCAAGTCCTCCAGGTCACATCAAGATACCAGGAGTTGTGATGGCTCATGGTTGTGAGAGACTCAGAGGGCCCACCATGAAGTAAGACACCACTCTTGGGGCTTGATGAAGTGCTGCAGCAGTTGCTAGCTCCGTTACTGTGAGGGAGTAGTTAAGATTGTTTTGAGGCTTTTGTTTGTGGGCTTGTCCTGTGAAGGCTGTTTTAACTTCATGGTGTATCAAAGTACTCTTCAGTTTCACATGAGCTAAATGAAATTGTTACTGAAACAATAATCATATAAAGATAAATTTCTAGTTTTCCCAAGGTGTCTCTTCAGATTTAAACACAGAGTTGTTGTTGTTATGTGCCATCAAATCAGACCTGACTCATAACAATCCCTCCTTGGGTTTCCGAGGTGGTATCACTATGGAAGTAGATTGTCCAACCTTCCTTCCGAGGAGTGGCTGGTGGGTTTGACCTGCCAGCCTTCAGCAGTCAAGTGCCTTAGGCACTACGCTACCAGAGCTCCTGGTGAAAAGATAATAACAAAAGAGAAGTTGGAATAGAGGAGATGTCTTATAGATTAGAATCTCCACCACTTACCCAGTGATGTTTCATCTTTTCAAGGAATAATTTGAGACATAACTTTAAGTTGTTCCCCTTTCCTTTCCCTCTATAAATGTTGACTCATAGGAAGAAAACAACGACATATTCAATATAGTCTTGCCTCATAATTTATAGCTGCTAAATCATCAGATCTCATACCTAAGACTTGAACAAAGTGATCAGTAAAACCAACTTTCTTATAGGTGTTAATGGAATTTGCATTATCTGTTTAGGCCAAATACCATTACAGATTTACTTATTTGAAACCTCACCACCTTCCACTTTTGATAGGAATGATATTTAGCATAATTAAACCCTGAAAAGGGATCTCTATTACAGTTTTCCTGAAAATCTCTGATTTAAAAGCTGTGTCATTTTGGTGTGGTTCTGGAACTTTACTTGGGGTTTAAGATTGCTCCACTTTGAGTTTTATCATGTGTCCTAAAGAGCTTGCTTTAAGAACAAAGTTTTGTTTTGTTCTCTGATCCATGAACCTGTTTCCATTTGTAAAATCTTCTAAGTGATTTTTGTTTACTGCTTGAAGGTCCCTTGTCTAAATTTGGATCCTGAATATATTTTCAGATTCAAATTAACAAGAAGATTGAGAGATGTTACAGCTGCTATTTTTAGCAATGTTTTAAAAAAATATGTGTGTTGGGAGTTGGGTAGTGAGGCCGCGAGATAGGAATTTGTTGATAGGCAAAATAAATACAAACCTAGGAGTCCAGCCCCATTTTCCTGTCCATGTTGCAGATGATTAAAGTCCAATTAATTATTATATTAGAATTAGTTCTATAACATGAAAGGATTTTTCTAGTAATACTAGATTGATAAAATGCACATTAATTTATTAGCTATAATGAATAGTATTTGTAACAATCACTGTTCTATAGGCTTATGATCTAAACAAAAGGAGAACTTTAATATGTTTACTATTGTTCTTACTTGAAAAAAATAAAATTTATTGAAGAAAAAGCACAAATTGAAGTAGTAGATCTATTTGCATAGGTAGTTCATTCATTCAACAAATAGTTACTGAATTCCTAATATGTTAAAAACCACTTCACAGATTACTAAGTAATTTGTGTAAGTATGTATAAGATGTAGTAAAGAAAACAGGAATAAGTCCTTCAGAAAGTCCTTGGGTTTTTTTTTTTCAAATGCACATTCTTGTTTTTTTCTTTTCTTTTTTTTTTTTTTAAACTTGGCTTTGTTTTTAATCATAGCAGTAAATAAAAACTATTCTCTCAAATTGATTTTTTTTCAACTGATGTAGTAATGGAACCAGAATATCTACATTTCCTAAAATAGCCCTAACTGTGCTCTTGAACTTCTTATTGGAACAGTGTTTGATACTCTGCTGTATTTATGTAATGTTTAGAATGACATATTAATAAAGTAATCTGTTAAACAGGCATGTACTGTTTCACTCCCTGAAAAACCAGTAGTATGATTGTTCACAGTTGTCAGGCCAAAAACATAAACATGTCAACTGCTTGATTCCCAACTATACACACGGGCATGCAGAAATCCTTTGATTTAATTCCCACTGAGAGACAATACAGTTGAGCTGTCACATCTAGAAAATATATCTTGATCCATCTTCAAGGAATAAAAAAACATATTAGGAGAGAGGAGAGATAGGCTTATGAACTAATGATATAGTAACACACTTATAAATAGCTTATCTTAATATTAGGAAAAAACCTAACAGGGTTAATCTTAGAAATTGTTCTGAAGATAATTCTTGTGCCATGTAGGGGAAACGTAGAATGTCCTTCTGTCTCCTCACCAAAACAGCAGGTTAGTTGCAAAAGCAAAGCTTCAAGGCAAAGGATAAAGAGCCTTTCAGAACTCACTGTAAGCAAGATAGCTTGGTTAGAACAGAGAGAATAGGCCGGGGCCTATTAAAAGGAAACATTGGCAAGAGGGGTGTGTGTTGTGTTTGTAATTGCTAACTTTTAGTTCCCACAATGCCAGGTATTGTCCTCTGTGCTTCTCATAAAGTTTCTTACTTAGTACCCTAACTTTGTCCCATAAAAAACAAAAAAACAAACTCACTGTCACTGAGTTGATTCTGACTCATAATGACTCCCATTGGGTTTCTGAGGTGGCATATCTTTACGGAAGTAGATTGCCCAGTCTTCCTTCTGTGGAGCAGCTGGTGGATTTGAACCACCAGCCTTCTGGTTAGCAGTCAAATGCTTTAGGCACTGTGCCACCAGAGCTCCTTATATTTTGTCCCATAAGGTAGACAGAATTAGGTTCACATAGATTAAATAATTGGATTAAAGTTTTTCAGAAGTAAGACATAGCTAAAATTCAAGCCCAGGTCTGTTTCAGCAGTTTGCCTGATATTTGCCAACTGCATGATTCCCTGTGTTAGTGTGGATTCTCTAGAGGAGCAAAAGCAGTGACACATACATAGCTACAACCCATTGCCATAGAGTCAATTCCAACTCATAGTGAACCTATAGAAAGGATGGAACTGCTCCATAGGGTTTCCAAGGCTATAAGTGTTTATGGAAGCAGACTGCCCCATCTTTCTCCCATGGAGCAGCTGGTGGGTTTGAGCAGATAACCATTTTGTTAGCCGCCAAATGCTTTAACCACTAGGCCGCCAGAACACCTTTCACATGCATATATGCATATAGAGAGAAATTTATTTCAAGGAAATGGGGTACACAATTGTGAGGAAATGCCTTATGCTGGGAGGAAGATCCAAGAGGGCAGACTAGGCAGATACATTGTCCAGACCCTCTACAGCAGAGACTTGAAAAACCAAGTGAAATGGATACAGATGACAATACAAAACCCAGAGCTTTAAAGGAAAGGATAAGAAGTAGATCAAATATAAATGAAAGAGACTGAAGGAAACAATGAACAAGGAGGCATAGGGAGCAGTAAACTGCCAGCTGGCACAGTGGGGCCATTATGAATTATTGTAAGCAGCATTCTGATTGGAACAAGAACAAGGTAACTGGCTGTGCTTGCAGGACTATACCAGCACCCACATCTGTGACTGACAATCAGAGAGGTGTGATTTTCCCCTTCCTTTGAACAACTTTGCAGTGACCAGAGGTTTGGTCCTGTCTAGCACCAACCACCTGGCAGCTGGTCAAACCTTCCCCTCCATGCTGCTAGCACTGTAACGATTATTTTTTCTTTTCTTTATCATTCTTTTTAGTTCTTCCCCCACTTTCCCTCCTTTTTTCTTTTTCCCTTACTCATCTTTTCTTCTTCTTCTTAGTGCCCTATCCCCAGATATTGCAGGTTTTCTTGCTTTTCTTCTTCTTCTTAATTTCATTTCTCCACACAGCAAATGCTGCTTATAGCCACAGCTGTGTTTGGCATCTATTACTTTCACCAGTACTATGCTATTTTATTCTCTTTTTTCCTTCTTGGTTCTGTCCTCTTCCTGCCCTCTTGTTTTTCTCTTTTTTCTTCCTCTTTCCCAAGACCCCCCTTTTTAATACCATTAAGGTAGTGGGTGCCCACCCCACTACCTCAGCAGTCAACAGCACCCACCCCTGCCCCTCTGGACAGTGGTGCACATTCCTGCAGAGTAAGCTCACACACTTACAGAAGCTGGCAAGTCCAAAGTTATTGGTTCAAATGTCAAGCTCTGGCGGGTTTTCCCGACTCTCACAGCTGCAGAGGCTGAGGAGCTCAAGGTTGGCAGGTAGTATACTGGCTGTTGACTCCAGTAGGCAGCACAACAGAATCCATGGTGAAATCTACTGGGAGCAGCTGAGTAGCTGCCTTAGGGAATGTGGTCTGCTTCTTGTATATAAGCAGAAGCCCTGGGGAATGGTCTCTAGCATATGGTACGCTTGGACCCTGCATATAGCCGTGTCGTTGCTCAGCAGCCTGCTATACTCTGCTGACCTTGGGACTTACAATGGACTTAAGTTAATGGCCTGCCATGTGGTTTGGTGACACCAGGACTGTACCTTTTTACTTGTCAACCTTGGGGCTTCTCAGCCTCAGCAGCCAGCAGCTGTCTGAGTGAAGAAACACCTCTAGCTCTAGTGGGCTGGGAGCAGGAGGCAGAGCTGGACCCCAAGGTTGAGGGGCTTTCACCCAGC